ACGCACGCACGCACGCACGCACGCACGCACGCACGCACGCACACACGCACAGTGGTGTCTACATGCTCGGGTGTGCTTGTGTGGAGATACCTTTTATGTTGAATGTTTGTTTTGCTTGGTACATATAATGTATTGCCTACAGATTTATATAATGTACACTACAGTGATACAATTTGTAAAAAAAAAAGAATAGGAAAGATCAATAACATTTTTTGAGTCGGCCCCTTTTTGGCGGGTCGGTCGGGTGAGGGCAAACAAACAATATTTTTATTATGGCCTGAGTAGTCTAGATACTTCGGGAAAAATCTGCCGGGAAGCGTAAATCCGCGTTTCGCGTCCGGACGCACCGCGTGGGCACGTGGCGGGAACACGCTACGTGTGGTGCCGTAACCAGGACACGGTCGTTCCCGTGTGTGACAGAAGAAGGGCCTCGGGCTTGCCGGGTGGCCATGCTACGATGCCGCCGCAAGAGGGCGCCAGTGCATAACGTAGCCGGATGCGGCGGATACAGACGTGCGTGGGAGCTGCACGCACGCGAGGTAATCGCGCTCCGATAGATCACACGATGACCCTGCCGCCGGTGTCCGTGAGTCCGCGTGTGCAGGGTGGGAGCGTATATGCACTGCGTCTTACCGTGAGCGGGTCGTGTGTGGTTGGCACCAAGCAAGAGCTGGCGTGAATGCTCTGTGTGACTACGGTTGCGCGTCGTCGTATGTTGTCAGGGTCGAGCGTGGGGACGACCGCTGACTCGTGCGAGGTCAGATATCCATCCCCGTGGAGCAAGCTTCCTCAAGGAATGTGATGCTGCGCATCCTGATGCTGTGCGTGAAGCTGACGTAAGGTTACCTGTTACCAACTTTGCGTCTGGTGTTGTTACGCAGGCTGGTGAGGTTACTCGTGCCTTTCAGAGGTGGATTGCCACTCGGGGTTATGATCAGAGCATATTTTCAGGGAATGCTCCCGGAATTCTCCACGGAATATCTCCAGAATAGCTCTGGAATATCTCCACGGAATTCGAAATGCTTAGCTGTCCGTTTCGGCCCGTGTTGTGGTGCAGGTTTTGGCATACATAACGGACTTGGTTACGCGCATCTTGCGCATACGCCCTCTTCTGGCGGTTTATTTCTTTATTTGCTGATAATGTTAACTCTCTTTGTTTGATCGCTTGGTAGCAGTGTAGCTTTAGCTTTAGCTTTAGGGTTGCCTTTAGGCTTTAGGACCCAGCACATCTCTGAGCATCCGGAGCTCTGGGGGGAGGTAGGCCAGGATGACAGTTCCTTGCGTCGGGCGGACGTGTAGGTGCGCCCTGACCTGTAACGCACGGGGTACGTGTTGTTAGTGCACAGCACAGCACAGTGCGTCTACTGGATCCATACTGCTGCATTCCCGCAGTGGCTGGTCGAGCGACACCCCACGAACCTTCATGTAATGTGGCGCGGCACCGTGGCGAGTGGTGACTGTTGGAGACACCCAAAGCAGCTGGTTTGTGGGGCGGACACTCAGATGGTTCCGCGGTCCACCCCCCGCATGTTCAGAATTAAAGTTAGTTAAATCCTTCCCGCGTCTATATGGCGCATAGGGCGGTGCCTATCTCCGTTTCAGTAACCCTGAGGCCCCGCAGCTGCTTTCACAGTAAGTGCTACAGTAGGTGGTTAGTCCACTGGTAGCATGTTCAGAATTCCTACCCTTTTAATCGGAAGCTTGTAGCACGGGAGTTAGTTTTCCTTTGAGGTGTCGGCATTTCCGGGCCGGATTCCGGGGGTTTACTTTGCTAAAAACTCTAGTTCTTCTGTCGTTCTCTGCATGAGCTAGATGGTGAGTATGATGCGCGCTGACCAGAGACCAGTATCCTCGTTCGACACCTACGCTCACAGCCATCCCTCTGTCCTTCGTATAGCACTGTGTCAAGGTAGAGCTCTTCAAGATTAATGATAATCAAGGTAAGTTTGCGCCGAGCACTGCCGCGGTCCCGTGTTGCACCTGGCACTCACTCTCACCTGTCAGGTGAGGTCGTCGTCATGACGCCTCGTCGCTCACACCTGTCAGGTGAGGTCGTCGTCATGATGCCTCGTCGCTCACACCTGTTAGGTGAGGTCGTCGTCATGACGCCTCGTCGCTCGCACTTGTCAGGTGAGGTCGTCGTCATGACGCCTCGTTTGACGCCTCGTCGCTCACACCTGTCAGGTGAGGTCGTCGTCATGACGCCTCGTCGCTCGCACCTGTCAGGTGAGGTCGTCGTCATGACGCCTCGTCGCTCGCACCTGTCAGGTGAGGTCGTCGTCATGACATCTCGTCGCTCACACCTGTCAGGTGAGGTCGTCATCATGACGCCTCGTCGCTCTCACCTGCCAGGTGCGCTAACGGTTGAGTTGCTCTCCTCTTTTGTTTTTTCAGTCGCTCGTCGGAGGACAGGACACCGGGGGTTCTCCCCCGCGGGCCATCGAGGATCTCGGAGCAGTCTCCAAAGGAGGAACCCCGCTGGGAGAGGTTCGCGGACCTTCCCCGGGGAACCTCTAGGAGGGCCGCATCCCCCTCTGCCACCAAGAGGAAGCCCAGAGACTCGTCAGAGGAGGAGGAGGAGCGCGGGAGGAAGATGCTCCGGGGTCCCGGCGGCAAGCGCGTCACCGCCGGCACGGAGGACCGCGCGGGGACGAGCGGAGAGGGCGACTTCGAGCGTCCGCCCTCCTCCTCGTGGCAGGCGCCGCTGATGATGCAGCGGCACTCGCCGACACGCGATCAGGTGCGGCACGGCGCCGGGCCCAACCGCTCGCGATTCGCGGGCGGTGGCGTCGTGCGGCCGTCCGCGCTCCGCAACGACGAGTGGATGTGGTGCCGCGCGTGCGGAGTGCCGACGCTGCATGCGCGGGACCACGAGCTCGAGTACCACTCGCGTCTCTGCCTCGTCACGGCGTGCCCCATGCGCGGCTGCGACTTCACGACCCCCAGCGCGACCATCTACCGGCTCGGCCATCACCTCGTGTCGGCCGCACACAAGGTGGAACGCGAGTACAAGCGCTACGCCGCGCCCGGGTGGGTCGAGACGCTGGGCAGGCCGCCGCTGTACATCGGTCCCTCCGCCGGATACTTCTACGAGACAGTGTCGCAGGCAGGCAGCGAGGACACGCGTCGAGTCGGCGGCGTTGCAGCCCCGCCCGGCCCCGCCCGTTATCTCTCCCACGCGGGGACGGCAGGCGGCGAGAAAAGACACACAGCCAGCGAGAAAAGATCCCCAGCCGGTGAGAAAAGACCCCCAGGCAGCAGTGGTGCAGCGGCACTCTCCGACACATCAGGTGCGGCGCGGCGCCGGGTCCGCGCGCTCGCGATTCGACCCCCGAGCAGCAGTGGTGCAACAAGGCCCGCCCCCGCCGGTGAGAAAAGACCCCCGAGCAGCAGTGGTGCAGCCAGACCCGCCCCCGCCGGTGAGAAAAGACCCCCGAGCAGCAGTGGTGCAGCCAGGCCCGCCCCCGCCGGTGAGAAA